ATTTTTAAAGATATGTCAATAGAGACAAATATCTAGATAAGTTTAGGCCAAGGTTTCAGAAACCTGCAAATTGATCACTATACCATTATTCAGATGTCATCCTTTTTTTGATCTTCATCTACCTTCAGCTCTACTTTTCTTATATCTCCACAGAACAGAGGAGACATATATGATATTATATAGTTTATAATTGGTTTAGATAAAATATAACAGCAGGATCTAGAATTCAATTGGCCTCCCCAGCACCACTAACCTTTTGTAACCAAAGGCCAGCAGATTTCAGAGGTGTGCAAAAGAAACAGAGATCATAGAACACAGGAAGACAATGTTGATGAAAAGTCATGTTTTCCTTTGGGTAGATTCCCAATAGTGGGATTGCTGGATCAAATGGTAGGTCTACTTTTAGGTCTTTGAGAAATCTCCATACTGTTTTCCATACAGATTCTACTAATTTCAAGTCCCACCAACAGTGTAAAAGCATTCCTTTCTCTCTGCTTCCATGCCAGCATCTATTGTTCTTGGACTTTTTAATACGAGTCATTCTAACTGGGGTAAGATGATTTCTCATTGTGGTTTTATAATTTCTGGGGAATTGGGATGAGGAACATAGTGAAGAAATGAAACTCTCTGTAGTTAAGGGACTGTGGGCATAAGAATATTCTTGCTATATGCTTTAAACGTTCTAGTGCAGATGTCTTTTTTTATAGAGTGTCTTTTTTTCCTTTGGGTAGATGCCCAGTAATGGGATTGCTGGATCAAATGCAGTTCAACACTTATGTGAACGTATAGTAGTAACATTCATCAGGTGTTGGGCAGGTGGGAAGGGATAGGAGGGGTTGGGTTTATTCACACCTAATGGGTGTGGTGTGCACCATCTGGGGAATGGACACACATGAAGCTCTGACTCGGGTGAGGCAAAGGTAATATATGTAACCTAAACATTTGCACCCCTGTAATATGCTCAAATTAAAAAAAAAGTATATTCTTACACATCTAATCTGTCGGTGAATAGATCATGTGGATTCTAGTTGATCAGGGCAGAGGAACTCATATAGCAAACTATAGTCCTTTTTTTGCCTCTCTGCCATCTGTGCTAACACCATCCCTACAATTAGGTTCAAAATGTGCTTTATAATCTCCCCTGAGCAACAGTAGCTTTCAGAGGGGAGCATGGTTAGCCCTGGCATATTCCTATCTGCCCACTCTAGCTTACTTCTCATGGACACCCTTCTACTCGTTTCTCTAGCAAACACCAGCCTTTCTACTCCGGTGGTTTGTGAACCACAGACTTTCCGTATCCCAGTGACAATGGGATGCAGGCTTGCTTATCGATGCTGCAGAGGACTTGGGGGGTTAAGGGGGAAGTGGAGAGATGTTATATGTAGGAAGCTGGCGTAGCTCAGCCCGCCCCACAGTTTAAATTATGACAGAAAAATAATGGGATATATTCATTATTTGCACTTCTGACTTAACTATGCTTCTCTAGTACAACATATAACATTTCTACAAAATTGAGAACAACAATTTTGTCAGAACATGTGGACTATCTGGCTGAACTAATTATAAGAACTATTACCTTGAACTCTGAGGACATCAATTCCTTAATATATCAGAAGAGCAAAGATCATCATCAACATAAGTAATAATAGGTTTGCATGAAAATAGCATGATTTAATTTGGATAAAAGTGTGCTACAACCTCTGTACCATGCCTTGCATATATAAGATATCTCATTGTTCTTTCCATTTACATTAAACTGGTATATTTTCAGAAGAGTCATTTTAAACAATCTTAGCATCGTTTATATCATTTTTCTTTTAGTTACAACAAAAGAGGATGAACAGTTTGACAATTAACACAGTAAAATGATGTTAATCTTCCACTTCCATTTTCTTCTGTCACATCAGGGATTTCCGGATCTGAGTGATGACCATTGAGAACTGCACTGTGTTTACTGACTTTGTATTCTTAGGACTTTCTGGCAGACAGGACGTGCAGCAGGGCCTCTTTATACTTTTCCTCTTGGTTTATGGTGTAACTGTGATCGCCAATCTAGGGATGATCCTGCTGATCAGGATGGACCCCAGACTTCAGACACCCATGTACTACTTCCTGAGCAATCTGTCTTTCTGTGATGTCTGCTACTCCTCCACTGTCTCTCCCAAGATGCTGGCTGATTTCTTATCTAAACAAAAGAGGATTCCATATAATTTATGTGCAATTCAGATGTATTTTTTCGGGGCCTTTGCAGATGTGGAATGTCTCATGCTGGCTGTCATGGCTTATGATCGTTACGTTGCCATTTGCAATCCACTTCTTTATACAATCACCATGTCTAGGAGGATGTGTACCCAGCTAGTGGTCATTTCCTACATTGTAGGGTTGGTAGATTCTGCGATCCATACCCGCTGCACATTTAGGTTGTCATTCTGTAATTCTAATGTCATCAATCACTTTTTCTGTGACATCCCACCCTTGCTAGCCCTCTCTTGCTCAGATACATCCATCAATGAGATAGTGATGTTCACTTTCATTGGCTGTGTTGTGGGGTGCAGCATTATAACTGTCCTTCTCTCCTACAGCTACATCATAGTTACCATCCTTAGAATGAACTCAACGGAGGGAAGATACAGAGCCTTCTCTACATGTGCCTCCCACTTGATGGCCGTGGTTGTATTTCATGGCACACTCCTGTTCATGTATTTCCGACCCAGCTCGAGTTACTCAATGAACACAGACAAAATGGCCTCTGTTTTCTACACCATTGTCATACCTATGTTAAATCCACTGATCTACAGCTTAAGGAATAAGGATGTGAAAGGTGCTCTGATAAAAGCATTAAAAACCAAATTATGTTCTGGATGAAACTGTGATGTCCATTCAAAAATATTAAAAGATTCTGGGAGTTGGATTTCATGTGCTTTGTAGCTTCCTGTAGTCTCACCAAAACAACCTTCAAGGTATTTTCAGTTACTTACCTTATGCCTAAAAAGTGTGTAGGGAGCAGGAATTATTGGTTTTAGTCTTCCCTCTAAACCAGGGAGGAGTAGAAATCGGCTGGTTTTGTTGTTTTGCAGAGAGGGTCCTTTTATACCTCCCTTCTCTGTTCGTATGTCGCAGTGAGATATCATGGATTATAGCAAACCCTCTCATCCTCCGAAGTCAGGTATCACAAGAATGGAAGAATAAACACCACATGTACTTGCCATCAAATTGGCACTAACTGATCAACACTAAGGTGCTCACACGACGGTAATATTCTTTGCGGGTTGGGGGGTTGAGGGTGGGTAAACTCACAACTAATGGATGTGGTGGGCATTGTAGGGGGGAAGGTCATGCCTCAAATCATGGTTTGGGTGTGGCAAAGTCATAATATGTAACCAAAATGTTTGTACCCCCATAATATCCTGAAATTAAAATAATGGATTTAATAAACGTAGTTGCTCAGCCAAAGGGAGTTTTAGAGAGTCAAATTTAGTCTAGTTTGTGTTCTTCCTGCATAATATTATTACCACATAAATGTCCAACACAGCACTTTGACATAACTAAGTAGTAAATAAATGAATAAGAATAAATAAGGAATCTCTTGTTCTAAATTCGAAGTTCCACAAAGGCAAGGCACTTTGCTGTCTTGTTCCCCATTATTTCTGCTTTTTTATTTATAATGTTTGGCTCCAGGATGACATTTAAATGCAGTTATTCAGTAAATAATGCCCCCTGCAAAAATGATGCAAAAAGGAGGCTTTGTAAATTTACCAGAAAAAGAATTCCTTCCCTTTTATTTTATTCTAGTACATTCACTTTAGATGAAATCCATCAACACCTCTTGCCTTTTGGCCTAGGCTTGAAATAAGTTATCAGGGACACAGATCATTTGATATAAAGAACATTTCTTCTTGGACCCACTGTTCCTCACCAGTGTGCCCCAACTATGTTGGCAGATGTCCCCAGGATCAGCAGCTCCAGAGATTGATTGCACCTTGTAGTCAGAATCAGCCTGTGGGCTCCCCTTCTTGCCTTTAGTCTGCAGAACAGGTGTGGTGTGCTATTAACAGCTATACAGCAGCTGCACAAATGGAAGCCAGCGGTGAAGAATGTGGACCTTCTCCTAAGGCCACTGGAAACGGGGCCTCGATCTCCCTTGACAAGTTCATAGCATTATACTATGGTAATGTTTAAGGTTAGTTGAATTAAAAAAAAATAA